AAGCGGGTAAGCGACAACTGTAACACGGGCTACATATGTTTATTTAATGATTGTTTTATGACTAAATCAATAAAAGTGTTTCTGACCGAAAATTGTGTTAAAGTTTTATTTCAGGCTTTTGTGGTGAATAATACTTTTGGAAAAGGTAGCAAAACACTATGAAAAATCGTTAATAATCGTTAAAATATATATTTCCCTACCTTTATTCATTAATTACCAAAATTCAATTTCACAAAACAAATTTAATAAATACATGACTAACTATTATCAGCTTCGGAAAGAAAATGGCCGCTGTATTTACCCGTGTCTATTAGAGCCTTAGCGCCCTTAGCTATAGTACCTACTTACTTTCTGTCCAGTAGGTACTCGTTATCGAGATCAGTCGAGAAAGAGTAAGACTTTGTCTGAATTAAAGATATCTCATCCTCGAACATTCAGTAGTACTCATTATCGTGGTCAGTTGTTCAAAAGTTGTAAAGTAACCTTAGAGTTGTATACTTGTATAGTGTAAATCCTATTGGATCCTGTTTAATTATCCTTTTGAGCAGCACTCGTTATCGTGGTCACCAAAAGAAGAATTTAAATAATCTCATACAGCAGGTGTCCATAATTTACTCGTTTGACGGTTTGGGAATCGGAAACCGAAATATATCTGTTATATACGCCAAGCCTTTCAGGTATCAGGTAGGTTTAAGTCATCACAAATTATGAATAAACAACCAAGATTGAGAGAGATAATAGTCTGGAAAGCTGACATAAATTACTCATAGACGGGAACTGGGGATATTAGGAGGAATATAAACGAAACAAACAACAAAGGTGACATTTTGAAATGGGATTTGATAAATAAATGATCAACATTATTGATTGTTGACTGTGGTAGGTAATAATTCACAAATAACATCATTATACGAAATAAGTACCTAATAAGTAATAAACTCTAGTAACTCTAATTAAAAAATAAATCTCAGTGGACAGTATGATCTATAATACATTGCATTGGTAAGGGTTGATATAATAATTGAAGCACCTATATTAATCAGTTTCTTTTATACTAAAATATATTATACTATTATTGTATCATTAAATTTAAATAATTAAATATTAATATTGTCTATTGGTGCTGGTAAGATAGATATGTGTTTTATTACCTATGCAAGTAAATAGTAAATAGTAATATTGACGTATTGTAGTATTTTTCAAATAGCTGTATATATATATATATATATGTATATTTTAAATAGGCCAAGTGATTTTTATCTAAAAAATGTGTATCTAAGAACATCTAGCTATCTAGGTAAGCAACTTATATGAAAACCTCACTGATATATTTTATTTTAATATAATCATTTTTGTAGTAACAATGAATACACCATAAAATGTCAACTAATATTTACCACCCCTTTACAGGCCTAAAAAATATATGACTGTGTTTGAACAATATATTAGGAGCCTTCTATTAAATTTTTAAGCTTTTTTAACCAACAAATAAAATTGTATTGATATTTATAGAAAAAAAAAACTAAAAATGTCAAAAAAAAGAGCTCAAAATATTTGAACAATTTTATCATGTATAGAAAATGGAAATATAAACAACCAGTGAAATTTTCATATATATATGTTCATTTGTTTTAGAGTAACAACAAAAACCAAAATCAATTTTGTGTAAAATCGATTTAGCGTAAAAATTCCCGTTTTTCCTTAATTTTTCTTTTGCTTTTCATGGCGCTTTTGAAAACTACTGGAAAAATTTTACTTTTGACCTCCCAAAGTATCAACAAGATTCACTTTCCTATCAGAAAAGATACTGTTGAAGAAAATCCAAGCACGTTTACTGTCCTAAAAGGTGATGCCAGACACAAAAAAAAAATTAAAAATAAATAAAAAAATAAAAAACACACATCATTGTAAAATCAATACATTCATCGTTCCACAAAGAATCTAAAATAGTACGTATCTATCGTATTCATAAATCATAGGATACGCCCTTTTATTTTTGTAAACTTATTTGGTACCTATTTCTTAGTTAGGTATTGCTTATTAGTGACCTTAATGGTAGGTAATATTAATAAAAACTGAAATAGATAAAATAGTTTTATGTATTTATAATTTATTTGATAATTCAAAATATAAATAATAAATGTAATTAGTAAGTATCTTAAATAATAAACACAATATAAAATTTAAAATAAAAATAAACCTATAATAGACGGTTAATATAAATACGAACATACATTTTTCTGATTTACATGTTACGGAGATGCTTTGGCCCCCTTCCATAATAAAATTCCCAAGCACGGCCACCCCACTAGAAAAAAAAATATAATACAAATATCACATGCCACGAGTATTTAAGTCCATTAATTTGACACCTTTTCTATTATATTCATTAGTTTCTATTTTCGTCTATTTTTATCTTTTCCCGGAGATAAAAACCATTTATTACAAAATCAACAAAACAACAGGTGAATATTAATAATAATTTATAAATAAATCTCTATTTTTCTATGTCAGTAAGGCCTATTGCCTATGCTTAGTGCTTACCAGTTACCACTCAGCATTCATTGTTTATTGACTACTGACATCCAACGCTAGTTACTTTTAGTTGATAGGTACTTAGTACTTAGTAGTCACTACTCACTATATAGTCAGTACCTACTTATTATAGTGGCATTATAGTAATATAAATTTTTGTTTTGTTTTAGTTTAAATTCTGCAAATTGTCCATGTTGCTATTATTTACGTCAGTACTAAGTGTCTAAGCCTTTTAATTACAAATTGCATTTTTTAAATTAAGTTTAGTTTATAATGAATAAAAAAATTTTTTGATATTTTTAAATGTAAAAAAACAAGCATGACCTGCCTTCTCCAGTGATGATTTGTCTATGTTACTTCAAGGGCGAATCGGGAAGAGATTTCGCCCTGGGAAAATACAAAGTATTGGTACCGGCCCACTTACTAATTGACTAAATATTGAATTTTAGACAACATAATATTATTATTACCTACCTATGTATTACTATTTTAACATAACTACAATTTTTTTAACACATTTGGCAAGGTATGCAATTTATAAAACTTTCCCAAACTTTATAAAATTTTATTCGTAGTATAAATATAATATACAAGTCGATATCAAATTTATTTTTATTTTTGAACAGCTAATGTTTACACATTTATAATAGTATAAGCTCTAAGTACTTACATATATCATATTTAACACAATAAAAGTGAATAATTTAAATTACTAATGTTACGATTTTTGTATTTAATAAGAAAGGTTATTACCTATCCAATAATATTTAATAATGCGCTTTTAGACTTAAATAAAAGCTTTTAATTTACTTCCACTTAATGTACCTGATAAGTAAATGAACAGAGTATACACGCAAAATCTATGTGTATCTTTTTATTTTCTATAAAAATGTTTTTGTGTAGTTTATTCATAATAACTTTATGTAGGTAGGTCGTAGGTACTGAACTTCTAAACAACCAGAAAAACTAGAATGATACTTCTGACAAAATACCCACTAAATTATAGTTTATTTTATAAAGACATACTTGTATCTTGTACCTAGATGGTACTATCACAATCATCTATACCTACCCTATAGTATAGTGAGACTTAACATAATAATTTCTGATCGATTTTTCTAAGATTTTACTAACATTTGTATAGTCAATAATGATAATATATAAAATAAATTTAAGTAATTTTGTTCTATACTTAGAAATATTACCATAAGAAAATATATAATATAACGGTCATAAAGACTCTACAATGTTACAATATTTAAGAAAATTACATAAAGGATAGATTCTTCAAGATCCTACATGAGCCTGTTATAAATTAAAAATATGAGGTCTGTTATCACAACATATTATACCTAATGATAAACAAATTTTTTTTCGACATTGGGGCTTAACCTGTAGGCTGTTAATCTCAATTAAAAAAAAAGTGATATTGGATGTTAGACATCTGTGTACCAAGTTACAGTTTTAATTAAATAAACAATTAAATTGTTTTCTGTTTCTTACAATTTTCAAAAAACTTGGCTATTTGCAATAATAACTAGGGTTCTCCTCTTTTCCATCAAATGAATTTTGAAAAAGTTTTTGAGTTTTTACTTTCAATACTTTTTTCTGAGGAAAAAAACATAATTATAAAACTTCTTCATTCTGTTCAAAATTTAAAATAATAAATTTTTCACGGAAAAAAAATATAATTAAATGTAATACCCACAATATATTATGACGTACTTCACTTATAACCTATTAAAACAGGTCATTGGTAAAATGAAATGTTGAAAGTAAACAATGCTGTACATGTTTACATGTAATCAATGAAAATGAAATTGTTTCACTATAATAATTACAATATTTAGAAGTATTCTTAATAAGTAATAAGAAAGCTTGTATTTAAATTATTTGAAATAATTTCCAAATTAATTAATCCATTTTTTAAATGTAATATTTCATTTTATTACCTGTATGGATACCAATTATGGATACAATAGCCATTCTGATTTGCCCCTCTCTATATCTCTCTGTTCGGTAACCCTGAAAAATTAACGACTCACAAAGAAATTAAAACTGTAAATATTTACTGTATCCTAAATAATTTAAGGATAGGTTGTTTGAGATTCCTTATTAGTGACAACTCCAGATTTTTTAGTAATTTTTCATTCAATAAAAAAATGATCTGAACAATTTTTTGGGGAAATTAATAGTTAATCTAATATTCTAGGTTCAATCATATATCATCTTCAATTTAAATCTGGAACTGCCACAAACCAACCAAGTATAGACCAACAAATATAGAAGGAAACTATTACAGGTAATTAAATTTGACTTAGGTGTTGGTGTTGTTAAGATTTTCTAATTCAAGCGTTAAGTTTAGATTTCCTGATGATAATCGTTTAATTACCAAATAAACATTGGAGGAGAAATGATTTTGTCAATTCCTATGTGTATGATGTCAATTCCTATGATTTTTCGAGTTAGCTTTCCTTCTGCAAAACAAACAAAAACTGTTAGATAGGAAGAATTTTGTTGAATAGAATAATATCAACACATGGAATAAATAAATTACAAAATGGAAATGTTAAGTCTATTTTTCAAAATTGTACTTTATTATTAACAATATTTTGTCATCTTGTAACTACAATATAAAGGTCATAAAACGACCAATTTGAGATAAAATTATTTATATTTATAGTTGAAAAGAAAATATAATTGTGTACAAAATAATGTAAGTGAAAAATAATTTAATATATGAAAACTTCTAATAAGTTTTATATTTTGACTCTGCAGAATCAAAAAAAAATCAGTAGTTTAAGTTAATTTTTCTAAGCATAACTACGCGCACTGATCAATTTTTTTCCGATATGAACGGATGTACCAAAGCCTGTGATATGCCAATGCGTTTTGAAGAATCCAAAGTCAGTATTTTATCAAGCAAGTCCTTCAATTGTCCAACTTTACGAATTTGCTCCTCTGGTAATTTTTGGTTTCCCAGTAATTCAGTATATAAATCTCGACTAGGATTTATCGAAGACATGGTTATAACTTTTTCCTAAAAAAAAATTCAAAAGTGTAATTCAAACAATCCAAATTATTAAATTATTTACAAAGATGATAAATGTATTAAAAATGGGCATATTTCGAGTATACCATGCACCCATTTAGGATTTATTTTTCTTTCTTCTGTACTTTTTAACACAGAAAAAAATGGCACAAACATAAATAAGTGCAGATCATTAGTTTCAAAGTTATAGCGATATGATGATCACGGATGGGCGGCACTATACTGGTAAGACCATAGGCTAGGTACCCATTATGTCTATATTCACCGTACTCTCCCCTCCCCCGGATTCATTATCACCACTGGATGGTTTGGAGTCCTCAGACCTCGAGTTTGGTGACCGGAGCTGACTGGTGTAGATAGTGACCATTTATCATACTCGATAATGCAAAATTTAAAGTAATTTGATTTTTTTTTAAAAAGAGTGCCCGGTATATAAGTTCCCAAAAATGTTATGTGCGTACACTATAATATGGATATACAACATTGACACCAATATTGCCATGGAAACAACCTCCCAAATTACACAAAATCAAAAAATTTGAATTAGGGAATAACAGTTGATATAAAAAAAAAATAACTTGAGAATATTTGTTTTATTATCCTCAGCTCCAAAAAATATTTTATAATTTAAGGAACATTTAACAACAATAGTTTATTAAACATGAGTTATAAGAATAAATTATAAATTATTTTCGCAAAGACATTGGCCAAAATTTAATAGATAAATTCTGGAATTCCGTTTTGCTTGTAATTCAATAATACATTTGTTTTATTATTTCAATTTATTTTGTGACCCCTAACTTATATTTATCATTATTATTATAATATACAATTTAATTACTAGTAAAAAATATTTTATAATTTTAGGAAGCTTTAATAACAATTATATATTAAACATGAGTTATAAAAATTATAAATTATTTTTGCAAAGACATTGGCCAAAATTGAATAGATAAATTCTGGAATTCCGTTTTGCTTGTAATTCAATAATTAATTAATAAAGTAATATAGTAGTCGCCTATTATTCCAGACAAATCAGGCAGAGTTAAGTTCAAATAAAGCTGTGAGTGATAATCTTTGATTCAGTCTTAAGAATTTTGACCATAATATGAGGTGATTGGGTGTACAAATGAAACGGAAACTACTGTAGTAATATTTTGATATCGTGAAAATAGTATACATTTATTGATAAAGGTGCACACTAAAAAACAATATTTTATTTAAAATAAGATATGACATGAGTAAATGAAAAAAAAAAGATTTAAAATAATATAACTTTATCATCAATTAAATTAATTAAATATATTATAAACACCCCCAATTAGAAGTTATATGCTCTCACAGCCATTCAATTTATCATTGATGCTTCTAAAATACAACCTAAAAATATGATAAATTTTAATTAAGGGGGTTCCAGTCGATGGACAAAAAGTGACTTTTAGACCAAAAAGCCAAACAAAACTGGAGGAATTTAGTTTGACTGGTTTTAATTTTGAAAATGGATTATAGTTGATTTAATTTTTTAACTATTATTAGTGGCATAACGTTTAATAATGTATTAATATAAATACAATAATATCACAATTTTATTCATGGAAATTGCCTCAATGGAAACCTAGTAAACTTGGTAATCAATGAAAATCGGTTTTAAAAATTAAAATCTGTAAACTAAATTCTTTCAGTTTTATCCAGCTTTTTTGTCTACAAACCAGTTTTTTTCTTCTACTGCAGCCCCCTTAAGATTTATTTTATGAAAAGGAATTTAAATATATTTAAAAATAATAAAATAAACAAAATGTATATTTAGATAGGTCAAATCTACATTAGTTTTGACTTATGACAAAACCAACTTAGGGGAACTCAATCTTTAAAATCAATGTTCATCACTAGTATAGTATCATAATGTGTTCTTACATAACGTACATCCATATTATTTAATATTTAAAGTAAAATTATATTATAGTTTAAAAAACTTTAATAACAATAGTTCATTATTAAAATATAATTAATACAAATTATAAAATTATTTTTGCAAAGACAATGGCCAGAAATAAATGAATAAATTCTGGAATTCCGTTTTGCGTGTATTTGAGTTAAGTTGCCATCAACTATGATATTATTCATATATTAAAAATAAATGTATAAAATAAAATTGAGACACCATAACGTATCATTAATTTTAAATTTGTTAAATATATTACTTATAAGTTATAATTAACTTTGCTATCTCAGCATTCAGTATAGCTATTATAGATAAAATATAACATTTCTCTTTTTAAAATGTATTGCACTTTATTTAAATATAACATGAGCCTTACTCGTTCTGTGACTTTGTCAACTTCATGATACAGAAAATTACAATTGCTATCAAAATGTTGGTCTTTGAACATTCCCTTCCGAATAGTTTTGTTAGCCATTTTTCCTTTCAAATCCATAAAATATTTCAACATCTAATGATAAAAATAGTATACATTTATAACATTTACATCAAAAACTATAACAATTGTGTATTAAAAATCTATTATTGCATTTACTTGGTTATTAGTTTTTCCAGGAAATAATATTTTTCCAGTATAAAGTTCATAAATAGTACAACCAGCAGACCACATATCAATGCCAAATTCACATTGAATACCTAAAACTAAAACAAAATCCATATTTTAAACTTGTGTGTATAATATATACACTATTATATAAGCCAGAGGTTCCATAACTTTGGAAGTACCTCAGATGAGACTTTCTGACAACCTTCTTTGTTATTTTAAATTGTTTACAATAAATCTCACATTAATAAAGTCAATAAAGATAAGATAAAATTTGCAATAACTCGAGTTTAAAACTTTAAAATAATAATATACTTTCAAATTTATACCTAAAAATTGAATTGCTTTATTGTGTACACATATTATGTTATATGCTCAGGGATGGAACAACTAATAGTGTATAAGAACCTCTGATATATTGGCAATAAAAAACTTACTTATTTCAGGGGACCGGTAGAATCGACTGACCAGATAGGGTGTGATTTCATTATCAGTTATGTGTGATGCTGATCCAAAATCACACAATTTCAATACTAACTTACTTTCATTCACCTAGGGTTGAAACAAAAGTAATATACTTATGAAAAAAATAATATTAATGTTTTATTTTTGTTATTATAACCAGGATAATGAGATTCGCAGGAACTGCAGACCACACAAATTAATTTTTTCCAAGGAGTTGTATCATAGTTGAACTGGACTTAGTAATACCTAATTACCAAAAGGCAAATAATGTCAATATTATGATCATAATTTTGCAATGACATTGGCCAGAAATCAATATCTAAATCCTGGAATTCCGTCTTGCTAAACTTAAATCTAAATTCTAAATTAAGTTAGTAAAATACACACCAGAATATTATCAGGCTTGATGTCAGCATGTAATATATTTGCTTTTTTCATCAATTTCAATGCCAAAAACAACTGTTGACTATATGAACGAACAGCTTTAATGTGCAATCCAATGTCTTTGCCATATTTCTTCAACACCTAGTTTTAAATATTAGACAAAATATCAGACTAAATATAATATGTATATATTAACCCAATGTTTTTTAAAGGAAATTAATCAATGAGCAATAAAAATCATTAAAAAAATGTAAAAGTAAAAAAAAACTTATTTATGTTTAAAATTTAAGATATAACACTTATTTTTCAAACAGAATTATAACTAAGTTGTTAAGTACACATTTTCCCGTTTTTTTATCAAACCTTAGTGACGCGAGCAAAGTATTTAATCACCCCAAACTATTTGTTATACGCTTTAAATTATTTTATGGATTTTAAGCAACAATCAATTAAAGCATGTCATCTTATAGTCATTATCAAATATTTATTTACTTTCTATTTTTTATATAGTATGTAAAGTAATAGGAGTCAGTAGTTGTATTATTTTTATAGCAACTGATTTTCAAATTAATTTTCAAACTATATAACACAAAAATTAAAATTAAATTAATTTATATGTAATAATTAATATACTTTAACAATAGATAAAAAATAAATTTAAATTTTAATAAACATTTGTAATTAATAAAACTATTTTTATTTGAATTGAAAAAAATACTCCGTGTGTGCGTTCAACTATGTGGTCTGAAACGCGCGTCACTAAAAGCTGAAACTAATTAATTTAGTATAAGTATTTTTAATTTTAAACTTAATATTTTCATTTATAGTAGGAAGGGGGGAGGGCTTTTGAAGAATGAAAAGTGACCAATTGTACCTATATGCTACTCAAAGAAAATTTAAAAACCGCCCATATTTGAATTAGTATAATTTAAGTATAATAACCAAGTTTGGTCAAAAAGTGATAAATATAAAAATGAAGCCACCAGATGTTTACTAACCACACGCCAGGTGACTCACTTTTAGAATCCCTGGTTGAAAAACTGGTTGCCAACATAATCTGAAAGCAGCCACTTTTCATTCACACCAAACTCCAAACTACAGTTAGTTGCATTTTGTCATTTGGAATTTTTAAAAAAATCTTAATTAATTTAAGAAAAAAAAAAATTTTATTAGCATTATTTTACCTCTCTAAGATTCATACTGAGAGGTTCAAAAACCATGCATAAATGTTGCTTGTGGAAAAAGTGACGGTATAAACGTAGACAATGAAACCTATCATCTGGATCAGAATCATTTAACCGTTTAAGAATTTCTAATTCTTTCAATCCTGTCTTGTGCCTAAATTAAAATAAACAATTTATAATTATCAATGATGAATTCAAAATGTATGTTACTATTTAAAAATACTTACATAATTTCATTGTTTCGTATAATCTTAACAGCCACATCTTGATTATCGCGAGCCGCATCTCTAGCACGGACAACATTAGAAAATACTCCTTGCCCAGTATATCCGTAGACAGTATAACGTGAATCCATTGTTTCACCAATTCTTACACGATAATATCCTTCTGCGTCATCCCAGTTATCAGTTAAAGAAGGATTTTCTGGTACACTCTTGTTTCCATTGGATATACCATCTGGTTGAGGAGTCTGAATAAGAATTAATAATTATTAAATATTTATACAATTAATGAATATTATATGAGTGAATTAATTACATGTTGTGTAGCATGAAATGAATCAGCCTCTGCAAACATATCCCATTTGCCTTTTATTAAATCAGGATTTAATACATGATCAGGCTTTGTGGTCTCCTTATCTGTTGCTGAATCAGAATCATTTAATATTCTATCAGTTTCTTTAGGAGATGGAAGTTCTGGAGAATGTTGGATAGATGTTTCAGTAGCGTAACTTCCATGTGGAGAAGGATTCATAGAATCTTCACTATGCAAATTACTATTATTTGCTCCTAACCTCTATATAACAATTGCAATTCGATATGATCAATCAAAAAAAACTATCGTACAAAAGTATAATCAAAAATTACCTTCAATAATTCCTCCCTTTGCTTTCTTCTTTTTTCAATAATTTCTTCTTCGTTTTCATCTTCCGCAATATTTATATTTACATCAATGCTATAAAATAATTATTGGATTATCAATCATATTTTTAAACAATACAAATCTATCACTAATTCATCAAACCCGTAAAAATAACCTTATGTGATTAAAAATTCGCTACTTGCAGTTTTTTTCTGAAAAACAATATACCTAATCATTTTAATTCTATACTTGACCTAGTGTTTTCTAGTAATAAACTAATATGTGTCGAAAAGTCGTATGAACCCGTTGTTCCAGCTGACCTTTATCATCCTGCATTAAGTATTTGTCTCCCAATAAATCTGACTTCTCCCCATTGTCATCGAAGTCACTCATTCTACAACTTTCGTAAAGCTAACTTTGAGGATGCCCGTTTGTTCTTATCATCATTTGACTGGTACTCAACTTTCCAATTATACAATATAGATGCTGCATTTAATATTTTTTATGATGCCTTACACTAATCGGTTCTTGACTTTGTTCCCAAGTGTAAATTTACCAATTCAAAATTCCTGCCATGGTTTGCCATTGGCATAAGGGTCTAAAAAATAGCTTCTTTTAAAGAAAAAGGCACATATTAAATCCTCCAATGCTCACAACAATATTGCTTCAATCTCAGTTTAGATATGAATCTAAAAAATGTTTACATAGATATGTTGAACGTATAGAATCATCTTTAAATAGTAACCCTGCTGATTACTGGAAGTTTGTTAAAAACAAAAGGTCTTTTAGTGTGATTCCTAAGGAGGTTTCCAATAGGGAAAAAACCTCTACTAATGAGCAAGAAGCGGCCAACTTGTTTTCTATGTACTTCTCTTCTGTTTTCTCCGGTAATCAACTTAATCTTGATACATCCTCGTTAAGTATTAAGTCCTTTGATTTACCTAATAATGTTAACTTTACTGTTGAAAATGTTTATAAACACTTATTTGACGTGCATGGTAACTGGTCCATTGGACCTGATGGTTTATCAGGTAAGTACATATATCAATTAAAAAATGTTATAGCTTTTCTCCTCTGAACTCTTTTTAAGCGTTTGCTTGAAAAACGAATCTTTTCTTCTATGTTAAAGTTCAGCTCAGTTACCCCTGTACACAATCCTGGTGAAATATCCAATGTTTCCAACTATCGTCCGATTTCAATCCAGTCACATATTTCCAAAATTTTTGAATTGCTGGTCTTGCATTGTATTCAACCATCGATCAAAAGAATTTTTATAAAGGAACAGCATGGCTTTCACCTTGGTCGCTCCACCATTACCTGTAATTTAGTCTTTAACAACTATGTATACCAATCTTTTAATTTTAAAACACAGGTAGATGCTATTTACACAGATTTCAATAAGGCATTTGATTCAGTTAACCACAATGCTCTAATCCAGATCCTAAACATATCTGGAATCGGTGAACCTCTCCTGTCCTGGTTTTCGTCTTACCTCTTTTGCCATTATCAGTAGGTAAAATTGCTTGGAATAAAATCTAATGTCTATCTTGCTATGTCCGGTGTTCCTCAAGGAGGTCCCCTATCTCTGCTTCTGTTCTGTCTATTCATTAATAGTGTATCAAGTGTTCTTTCCAATAGCCAGATTTTATGTTTTGCAGATGATATTATGCTCTACTCTCATATATCCTCCTTGGATGACTGTATTTTGTTACAGTGATTTTGATCGGTTCACGGAGCGGTTTCATTTACTAGGGTTATCCCTTAATGTTTCTAAATGTAAGACCATGACTTTTGCCAGGATTCAGTCCCCTGTCAAATATACTTATCATCTCAGACCTACTGCTATTTCATGTTCTAATGACTGTGTAACTGATCTAGGATTTATTCTTAGTAGTGATCTTGATCCTAGACCCCACACATTGAGCATATTTGTTGTAAGGCTTTTAAAACTTTAGGGTTTGTATTAAAATTATGTAGGGATTTTTGGTTAGGTCTATTATACAAGGTGCTTTATTATGCACTTGTTTGCTCTATTGTTGAGTATGGTGCCGTTATTTGGGGTCCTCACGACCAATGACTCTCTTAGGCTTGAAAGGGTTCAGCATAAATTTATGAGATATGCTAGTTTTAGATTGAATATCCCCTGTGAACCCCATAACTATGGACCATTTGCTTCCCAACTGGGGCTGGTTTTGCTGGCTGAGCGTTTACGGATCTCGGGCATTAAGTTCCTGAATAGTTTATTACAAGGTAATATTGACTCTCCTTATTTGCTTTCTTTAATTTGTTTTAGAGTTCCTCGACGTCATTAACGATCTGTTGATCCTTTTTATGTTCCTTTTGCCTCCACTAATTACCTTAAAAATGAGCCTATTACACGTATGATCTGAAATGCCAATGTTGACCCTTCGTTTCTTCAATGCCTATAATTTACTGTACAGCTATTAATTTATTATTATACCATAATTTGTACAATTAATGTGTAACTAGATATGTATAATGTTCAAAGGGTTTATCCCGTATATTAAATAAAATAAAATAAATAAAAGGTGAGGTTATTAATTTTTATTTACATCAATTTGATACATATTGAATATACTAATGTAAGACATAATAGCATAATAAACTCAAAATTTACTTACTCAGAATCTGAAGATGACTTATCATCACGCTTAAGACCTTCAGAAAAACTGTCTTTATATTTATCTCCTCTATCTTTTCCCCTATGAGATCTACAACCATTAAAAATGTATTAATTAAATATATTTACATGCAATTTATATAATGTTTACAAATTAATGCAAATTATAATTGAAACTTACGCTTACCTAGAATATCTTTCTTTACTATGTGATCTCCTATCATATTTTCTATTATATCTCTTATCTCTTTCTCTCTCTCTATCTCTATCTCTCTCTCTATCACGATCACGTTCTCGATCACGGTCTCGATATCTATTAGGACCTATAACAAAAATGATATAAAAATAACTAAATTAATATTATATTATCATTATAAAGTTATTTGACAACATAAAATAAAAATTATGGTTTATCGAATATCAATTATGAATTGATATTAACTTATTAAAGTGTATAATTTATTAATTTTATAAATAATATTAAAGTATACATCTTACCGGGTGGACTCCTTGCACGGTCTCTATTAGCTAAAAAAAAAATTGAATATAAATAGTAAAATTGTAATTTTTTAATCATTATAAGAAGTTAAAAATCTTACGTATAGGACTTTTAATACGGTCTCGTCTCCGTCTTAATTGATCTTCTCGTTGCTTGATCTGTTCTTCTCGTCTTCTTACTTCTTCTGCTCGTCTTTTTGCTTCTTCTTCTATATCTTTTATTTCTTCATCTCGTCTTCTTTGTTCACGCCTCCTTAAATCGTCTTCTCTTTTTTTGATTTCTTCTTCTTTTCGTCTTATTTCACGTCGCTTTTCATCTTCCAAATGTTTAATTTTTCTTTGTCTGTCTTTATCTTTTTCTCGATTCCTTTCATATTCCTTATCACGATCTCTTTCTTTTTCGCGTTCTTTTTCTTTTCTTATGCGATCTGACTTTAAATGAGTTAAGTCTTTACTTACACTTCTATCTCTTGTTTTCTTAATTTCTTGACTGGCACCATGATAACGTTTTAATGGACTTCTTACACTATTAAATAAAAACATAATTAATCTAGTAAAATGTTACATATTTTTAATATAATATTACATATTTTTTTAAATTTATCATAAGAATAACTTTACCGTTCAGAATTCTTATTTTTGTATTCTTCTTCTGATTCATCATCAATTAGGTTAATGGTTTCAACTGATTTTTTAGCGCTTGGCTTTTTTTTTTTATTGGTTTTATCACCTTCTTCTGATTCTGATAAATAAGCTCCCAATCTGGCTTGAAGTAAAGCCTAAACATAATAATTATCATTGAAATATTATTCAATTATACAATATTTGAATATAAAAAATTTTTAACTAAAAATATTGTATAGTTAGTTGATAAATATTCTGAAATCATAAGTGCTCTATTATTAATGAAAATGTATTATTTATAATTCTAAATATGTTTATAAGAATTAATTTTTAGATATTCTATAGAATATGGAAACTTTATATTTTCTATGGTTATTTGTCATTATATTTCTATAATTATATTGGAACTTTCAAATATATATCAAATACCTAACCTATATCATATATTATCTTAGGAAAATAATAAAATATGCATTGACATGTAAAATAGACCATTATAATTCAACTGCACATTTTATATCAATAAGTTCATTGTTTTATGTATTCAATCAACTACTATCACAAAAATAATTCATTTATCAATAATATCAAATTTGAATAGTAAGATTCTTTTAGATAAAGTAATATTTAAAAACGACGTACAAAATAGTCCGACTTAATCTGAAAAAAATCCTTTTAATTATTCATCAGTTTTACAAAATTTTGGTCATCTGAATAAATTAAAACAAATAAAATATAATGTTTATATATTAATCCTTATTATATACTTATATACAAAGGTAAATCTGTAATACCATATGATTACATATTATGAGTCATTATGACATAATTTATAAATAAAAGTATTGATTTGAAAGTTGTTTACTATTACTGTTAAGAATGAAAAATAATAAATATTAATCTTGAAATATTTTTGTTTGTTTTTTCATATTCAAATACAAATCGTTGGAATACACATAACCAGAGCTCAAAACTTCATACATTTGCATACTTCTTAGGAAACCACATTACAACTCTGATTCAACTCACAATATACAGGTACAACTCAAATCCAAAATTATATTTTATATATTTTACCAAATTTAACTAATATTGCGTACTTAAAGATTTCATACATAGTTAATCCATATTTTGCTAATAAACTAGCAACAATTTAAGTATAAAAGAAATCTAATTTAAAAATAAAGAGCCTTCATACATCTATATTAACTACTAGGTATAGATAAAATATTAATTTTTTATGGTATAAACATTTAAGAACGCTATACCCGCATGTTTATCTCCATCTTACAAATGTACAACATAGCAAAAACTGTTTTGAGCGGAATAAAACCAGTCAGGCTTTAGTGATGGACTTCAAATTGATATACAATATAGTTAAGAACATAATCTGTGAAATATTGTTTTTATTTTTTTGATATCACTTAGGTATATGAAAATAGTCTTATTGTTTCAAAATCCAATATTTTTTGTATTTTTCAAATTTCAATAACTTTTTTTGTAGATCTGATATTGAAAAAATAAAAAATATATTTCTCAGCTAAAGTTCTCCTTTAAGGTGGTGAATATTTTCCTCAATATTTTGTATCTTAGTTATTACTGTAACATCCTCGGTTATTTCCCGCGCAAAACAGTTTTTGCTATGTTTTACATTTGTAAGACTGACATTTGTAAGTTCTGAGCCCTGCACATAGCCATAAAATATTTAATCTGTATTTAAAAATACCTTTTGCTTAATTAGTTCTTCTAAATTCATTTCTTCTTCATCCAAGTTGATTTCTGTTATAATGGGTCCTTCAATTTTTTTCTTTTTACTATTTTCAGGCGGGGGTGGAGATGGTGGTCTTTTTTGTTTACCATTCTGAATATGGTCACCATTTGATTTCTTCTTATCCTTTAATTTGGTTTCTCCATTTTCTTTCTTCGTTTTTTTATGTTTTCTAGAAATAATTGATTACCTAACCATTAGCTAATAGTATTTAAACTTTTTAAATAAATTTACATTTGTATAATATAAATAGAACATTTAACCAAGAACAATAATCAATAAATAATATACCTACTTAAGACCATGTGGTCAAATATGCTAATAATCAATGTACAGGTAAGATGTTGAGATATAATTAAATTAGGTGTCAACATTTAATGAATTTTATAACAAGTAAATGATAATTATGTTAATACTAAACTCACCGTTCACTTCTATGCTTGTGTTTCTTTTTCTTTTTTTTCTTATCTAATCGGCTGTTATCGACTACTTTAACGGAGTCTGCAGAAGAATCATCGGACATACTGTCAACTCTATAATTTATATTACAAAGAGCAAGTTAAAAAATAACAAATGTATGAAATTACCAACACATAGCTATTCAAGTCATACTCACGCCATGTTTGTTGACTGAAGAAAATAAACAATGAACGGCTCGAAATCGTTTTCAGCAGTTCACGAAAGAGATCGTCATTTCGCAATCATAAAACATTAAACTTACACAAAATTAAAACACAATCACATAAACAAATTACAACAATAATAATAGTTGCTATCTCATTGACATTTTGGACACGAACAGAATCAAAACCACTTTTTTATGTTATTATGGAGTAGAGCCGTAAGACATTACACCAGAGAAAGATGTGTGCACAGTCTGTGCCTAGTCTTGCCATGGTGTTGGAGTATGGAGGGATACGTCCTACCTACATATTATTTGTTTACGATATTATGCCATAGTGGTTTCAGTTAAATGTAATGTAAATTATACAGAGTGACCAACATTCAACTACATCGGAATGAGGTCACAATATACTATATTGTCACATTTAAATGTTATAATAAAAACACGTTGTCATTCATTCTTGTTAACTTTCATCAATTTTTATGTATAGTTCTCTAAATTAATAACGTTGTTACTTGTTATTAAAATTAAAATCATTTTTATTTTTAAAAAAACATGAGACTTTAAAACGGTTAATGACTTTCCTACATGGTTCTACTGTAGCACTATCAATTTTATAACGTGGAGTTTCCGTTATCACAATATTTCAATGTTTATTATATTATATTTATATACAAATTAATAATTATCAAGAACTATCAACTGAGAAGTAGAACTTTGTTATGAGTCTTATGAGTTATGAGTTATGACAAAAGTTCAAAAGTTCAAAATCTAAACATTGTAATTTAAGTCTTTGAGAGTATTGCTATTCGAATCTATTCATCTTAAGTTATTAACGGTGCTTGTAAACTTATCTTACATATTAATTATTTTTTAGTAATTTATTCCAATTTTTTTGTTATTGGTGAATTAAACGATTTGAAAGTGTTTTTATTCATGGGTAAATAGTTGTCTAATAAATAACAATCCAATTAGTACCTTATATTATATCATAATAACATGAAAAAATATTTGTTTTTTAAAATAATTAAGTTTGAAATTTAAAACATTTAAGTTTAGATACCTATTGCTTATGCATGCAGCTTTATCTAGCATTTAAAAATTATTTTAGTTTGTACCTAAGCAGTAGAAGTTTAAATAATTTTAATCATTTGATCACTAATTCTGTTTAAAATTAATAATAATCGTCAATCAGCAAATATGTATAATACAAATATTTATGATATACATTTGATAATTTCTCAATATCAAGAATGAATTAAGGTATTTATTGTTCAGATAATTTAATATACCTATATTAATACCAAAATATGGCATTGAGTTAAACGTTATACTTGTATTATTAAGGGATTGTATAGGAAGTTGTATTTGTTTCATTGTCCAGTCAATCACTCAAGGGCCAGTTGTACCATCTCCGATTAAAGTTAACCGGAGTTTAATCAGCCGAATTTACCTGGTTAAATATCTGTTATCAGCTGATTAAGCGTAATCGAAGTTTAACCGTAGACAGTACAACTGGCCCTATTAATGACAATAAAAAAATTATTTGTACAATTATTTATACAAATAGTATTAATAGTATAAGGTACTGAGTATATTCTGAGGAATAATTAATATTATACAAAATTATTTAAAAATTCACTTCCTTATTTTCCTAAGTGTTGTATGGCATAATATTTATTTAGATTTGTTTAATTATTAATTTTATAACCTTGAGTCATAATGTTTCACATTTATACATCTGCAATTTTTGTTATTTAGTTCTTTTTGTAGAATTTTGAAACTGTAGCTGTATTTAAAGTTGTAAGAAATGCATGAACTGTTTACACAAGTATTGAACTACAAAGATTTATCCAAGGTATAATTTGATTAATAGGGATTTTGCATTTATTTGAATTCTTATTTATTAAAAAAAATTAATTTACAGGCTGGTGATTTATTTACTATTTCTGATGATGCCATTGTGAATGATTTATCTGAAGTTATTAATATAATTTGTGAAATCACAAGCTTTCCTGATTATGTAAATAATGACAATGATCAAAGCGTTGTGGAAATATGCATCACAAGAGTTACTACTGCTATCAGGTATTATAATTTGTTATTTTATTTAATAATGTATTATACAATTGTGTATAAATTTCTACTTAATGATAATATACAATTTCATAATTATATGCTAAACTAAATTTAAATTTACCTATTCTTAAAATATTCACAGTAATTAATATCTGATCTAAACCCGTTAAATATTGCATATAATTTTAGTACTTGGGGCGAATTGGGTATTTAAAAATTGTCTATAGAAATAAATTAATGAGATTTAGAGTATACTTGCCTACTCCAATATGTATATTGTACTAATCTATTGTATAATAATTAATTTGTTAGAGAAACCGGATCAATGGAACAGCATGCTGAAGCTATGGTTACATTACTGGAATCATGTCTTAACCATAATCTTAAACCGTCGCAAAAGGAAGAAGATCCACCTCATGCTAAAATATCATCAGACATAATATCCTGCATGTTTCTTGTTAGTATACAATTATAATTAAAAATTTTAAAAATGTGCTAGGTATGTTTATCTTGATATGTGCAAAATAATGGTTGAAATCCACAAACATAATATATAATTATTATGCTCAATATTTATTTTAGAACTATAGCAAAAAGGAAGTTATGAAAAGAGTATTACCAGTAGCTGTGAAATTTTTACATAAAGGAAATAAAGTATTATCAAGAAATATGGCTTCATATCTATCACTTGCAGCAATTGACAACTCTCCATTATTATCAAATCATATACAACTTATCATAGATTCCATAATTTCAGGTAATTATTTTTAGCAACTTTATAGCTAAGCCAAATTTATTTAATAATGTAACTTTTTAGGTAATTATCCATTATGCAGAGTCCTTCCTCAGATCTATGAAGTAACAAGAGATCCGATTCATGACCATGCAATGGCTTTAGTTTCTTTACTTCCATTATGTGAACTCACTGAAATGTTGGCTTTATTACAACTTTTCTCATTGATAGCCAACAATAAACCATCTGTTAGTGTACTTATATAATAAAACTATATTTAATTAATACAGAATAAATAATTAATTAAAAATGTTTAGTTATTGGAAGCTAGTTTGCCACAATTGTGTGAATACTTATGTACATCACAAACAGTTATTGCTACATTGCAAGTTTTTCTCAATTTAGCAATAAACCAACCACAACTTCTATCTGATTATGTTCCAAAAATTAAAAAAGCTGCAGAATGTAATCCAAATGCTCTGTGTATTGCTGCTCAAGTTTTATCAGCTGTTGGAAAAATAAATAAGGTCTTAATATTATTATATTTGATTTTGAAGTCATGAATAAAAGTACAAACTGTGTAGTTTATTTTAAACAGACAAAAGCACAAGAAGCATTAACTTTTATTATGGAAAATTTAGCTAAAGTGGATCGAGGAAGTCAAAGTATATTAATACGAGAAGCTACACTTCTATGTTCTTGTTTTCCAATTTTATTTACTGATCAAGTGTTAGACGGAGTTCTACAAATTAACCTAAAGATAAAGTAATTATGGGAATATTTTGTTAGCATTAAAAATGTACTGTATAGTCCTAACATGTCATTAATAATATTTTTCTTCAGGTCTCATTTAAATCAAATAATTAATGGAATAACTATAGTTAAAGTTGGTGGAAATCAATCACCACCAACTTATTCAAATATTACTAGAACAACTCAAACAGACAATAATGGAAGGAATTCAAGGTTGATATTAGTACAATTTATTACATATAATTTAAAAGTTTTTATAAAAATAATAAAATATATTTTTTATAGGATTGTGATTACACCCAGACCAAGGTTAATGGCAGATAGTCGTAGTACTGGAAGATTACAGTCCTCAAATGCTCACCGTAGTATGACACGTTTAAATACAGGTAAAAAAAAAATGTAGGCATAAATTACCAGAAAAAATGTTAATATAAAAATAAGTATGAAATTAACAGGTGTTGTAGATCTTACTTTATTCACCTAGGTGTTATAGAATAATATATTATTACATGTATAAGATTTTAAACTTAAGTTAATATACATATTGTTAAATAATTTTGTTTAATATAATTTTTAGCGTCTGGTAGTAGAGTTGGGTCAGTTGGAGGTTTGCATAAAAGCATGACAAAATTGAGTTCTAATCAAGTTTGTATTGCTAATTCATCAAACCGCAATAAGCCTTCTACAAATAAAATATCAAGTGGTGGCGTTACGGTTACTACACCTTTGTAAGTTTTTGTACCTAAATTCTAATAAATTCCATTACTTATTTTAAATTACTCATCTAAATTTGGAATGTATTAAATTGTTTAAGAGGAACTGGAAGTATATTAACTACAAACTTCAATTACAGTACAAACTCTAAAGATTCATTGGCTAATTCACTCAGTCAAACTTTGGCTGGACGTGCGCAAAACTCAGTATCTCGACCTTTAAGTACTGCTGGGAGTTCTCCATTAAATCAAAGTTTAACTTCTCAAGGACCTATCCAATCAAGTGGCCCAAGTCTGAATGTAGATCCTGGTGGAGTCAATACTAGCATTTATACAACTGTGACTCCAAGACGAAGTCACAATACAAGCGTTACAATAATTAATTCAAGTGTTTCTCAAGTAATTAAACAGCAAATTAATCCTATCCTATTAATATTATAAACGTGAAAGTTTGTGACTTTGTTACTCTTTCACGTAAAAACTACTGGACCGATCTTGATGAAATTTTTACACTGTGTGTATTTTGGTCCAACTTAAAACATAGGCTAATTTAAAAAGGGAGGGGACCAACCCCGGGAGGTGCTCGAACGGGAATTTTGAGATTTTTAAATTTTTGTTTATAAATGGTTGCCATGAGTTTTTAAGCTATTATAATAAAAAAAAATAAAAAATATTTGTTTTACTTTTTAAATTTTAATCAACCGTAGGTGGAATTAAG